TCCCAGCATTCTAATGCAAGACTGGAAACTAGAATTCCTCTATATTTTTAATAGGTAACATCCATATATTCAAAATTCAGGAAGGAAAACAAGAATATGCAGAGTAAAGATTTTATTTTCACCACATTTTATTTATAATATGTAACTGTTACTAGTTTGTGTATTATCTCAGAGATAGTGTATACTCATGGGAATATTTGATTATGTGTTTATCTATCATTTATCTATCATCTATCTATCTATATTTAATAGGTTCCATGCCCAATGTGGGGCTTGAACTCATGACGCCAAGATAAAAAATTTTGTGCTGACAAGATGGCCAGGAGGTCGTATTGCATATTTCTTATACCAGTGGCATCATGGTATACCCAGTATCTTATAGTTTACTTTTTTTCACTCAACAATGTGTCGTGGAGATTGTTCTTTGTAATGGCTGCATAGTATTCCTTTGATGGATAATTTAGATGTTTCCAGTAGTATTTTTTGGTCAGCTACGTGCATTGCCATTTTCTGAACTATTGTGCAGAGATTTTAATTTCTTTTTATTGTGGTAAAATATTTGTAACCTAAAATTTACCATTTTAATCATTTTTAAATTCAGTGGCATTAAGTACATTCATGTTGTACAACATCCATACCGCCCATCTTCAGAACTTTTGCATCTTCCCAAACTGGACCTGTCTCCATTAAACACTAATTGTTCATCCTCCCTCAGCCCCTGGCACCCACCTTCTACTTTGTCTCTGAATTTGACTACTCTGGAAACCTTTAATTTTTAATGTAAAGTTATCGATCTTGTCCTTGATGGCTAGTGCTTTTCTGTGTTCAGAGATGACAACGATGCCCTCATTAGGAGGGTTAGATGACCTCCTTGGTCATGCTGTGGCACAATCACCTCCTTGCCTGGATTTCCCTGGAGGGTAAAAGCTGGAGAGGGAGGTGAGCAGGTGGACAGAGAGCAGACGCTCTGGACAGCAGATCCTGGGAATGTGACCAGTGCAGGAACAGCATGTTCAGCAACACTCATATCTTTGCATGAGAAGGGGCTGTGTGCCAGGAAGGCGCCCCGACTCAGTATCCAGTTTAGGGCATGTTGGAGTTGATGGGATTGGTCAGGATAGCAGGATTGTGCCCATGATGAGTTCAGGTGACCGGAGTATCTCGAGGTTCATGCTCCAGAACAGCTGCCCCATTTCCGGTACTTGAGCGCCTCAAGGCCACTGCGAGCAGGATGCCTCTCTCCTCCTAATTACAAAGGTCACTCATGTCTTTAATGCCAAATTCAAATGTTACGGAAAAATGCAGTGCTCATCATGGTCTGATCCCCAAAGAAAACCTCAGTCTAAGTAAGGCACATATATTTTTATTTACTTTTCTATTCAGACACAAACATTCATTCTTGTACTTTACATACATGGCCATCTTTCACATGCACACAGTGATGGATCTACCTCAGTTAAAAATAAATAAGTATAGAGAATGTATTCATTTAAATTTTATTGTAGAAGTGTTTCATGAATACATTCTCCGAATCAACAATATATGAGGAAAGTGGCATTGCTTTCTTGCTTCTCCCTCTTACCTCCTCCCAGACAGAATAACTTCCATCCCCTCTTCTTTGTATTTACACACACACATTTGCTTCACAACTGCAGACTTGGAGCAGCACTCACGCCAGCGCATTTGTGACTCATTTTCTCACTGGCTGTGATGCTCGAGTACGCCATGATTCAGTGCTTGAGAGCCACCTGGGGAACCTGTTAGAACAGGCCTGCAGAGCCTTGTCTCCTGCAGCGGCGGTCAGTGCAGCCTGGGCCTGTTGAGGTGCCCACGTTGGGAACCATGTCCTGTCCAGGTGCTTGTACAAACACTCTTTGTATATTTGAGGGTTTTGTAGGGTGGTTTTTAGGCATGGAAATGGTGAGTCAGAGGATTAGCTGTGACTGCTTTTACTGATGTGGTCAAATTGAGCCCCAACAACCCAGATCCCGCTCCCCCAACAGCACGTGACCTGTCTGTCCCTTCCCCATCACCTGGGGCAAACATTGTAAAGATTGCTTTTATTTTGCCAGTCTGATATATTTTAAAATACATAATTAAGTAATTACAAAAGCTGAAAAATGAATTCCTTTCTTGTAAGTAAACTTTTTATTTTGGATTTACACAGATGCTGCAAGACACTGAGTCCCCAGCTTCCCAGCATGTTGTACCTAATTATGGTTTGTTTCCCAGAATGAAGAAATTAACATTGATCCAACTAAACTATTTGGAGTTTACCATTTTTCCTACCAGCATCATTTTCAGATCCCACATTGTGTTTAGAAGTAACGCAATGTCTCCTTAGGCTCCCGTGGTCTATGTCTCCCATGTTCCAGACACTTTGAGAAATCCTGGTCTGATATTCTGTGGAACACCCCTCAATTTGGGTCTGTTTGGTGTTTTTCTTATGATTAAACGGGGTTACAGGTTTTGGAGGAAAACACCAGAGGTGACTTGCCCTCAGCAGCTTATGTCACATCAAGGGATACATGTGGCTGTACCCATCCTTCAGACCTAACTGTGAAGGCTCCAGACTCACATGACAGCAGCAACAGGAGGTACTCATCACTGGCCCCTACTTCCCAGTGTTTTTGCCATCTTGTTTCTGGATGGCTCCTGGCTTCTTAGTCACCCAGCTGAGGATGACTCTCCCCATGGTCACTTCAACACAAGCCAAAGGGGTGAGCTTCACTGGGTGAACCTGCATCATCTCTGCACCCCCTGAACCAATCCCTGGGTTGATGTAATTCCTTGAAAATACAGCTCTTGACTACACACAGGCTGAGGTTATAAGCCAGCCTTGGGTCAGACCACATGGGCTGAATAGAGGACGAGGTACTTCTAATGCTTTTCTAGCCTTTCCTTCTTGTCCTCCAGCCTGTGCAGGTGGATCCACTTTCATCTATGTTGTTTCATCTAAGCATCTGTGCTGCTTTCAAAGCACTGTCTCTGCCTGTCGTCAGCAACATATATACCAAGCTGGGGACTAGGTGGTGTGGGGTGGGCATGGTCTACCAGGTGCATCTGTGGAGAATTTAAAAACAATCGTGAAACCAACATGTAATCTTTAAGATTTTATTTTTTTATTCATGAGAGGCCCAGAGAGAGAGGCAGAGACACATGCAGAAGGAGAAGCAGGCTCCCTGTGGGGAGCCCGATGTGGGACTTGATCCCAGGACACTTGATCCCAGGCCTGAGCAGAAGGCAGACGCTTAACCAGAGCCACCCAGATGCCCCCCAAATTTAATCTTTTTATCATCACCATATGCTAGTACTTATAGTGTGATAAAATTCTTTTTGAAAAGCAAAAGCCCAGGTCGAGAACATTTTCAGTACCGCGGAAGCTTCCGTAAGGAAATGTCTTAATACTTAGTGTGATCCTAATTCTCTGTTCACAGATGCTGAGAAACTCAATCTCAGACATGTTTGGGGGTCCCCTGGCCTTGTGAGGGTGTGTGAAGGCCTTCGGTCAGTCTCCCTTGTGGACTACTTCCGTCCTGAGTGGGCCGTTTCTACTCTGCCTTCAATCATCCCTGGGGGGTTCCCGAGCAGCCTTCTACCTGGGCCAACCCTCAAGGCCACAGCTGGTTTTCCTGACTCACTGGCTTCTTATTGCTGTTCCGCAAGGCCCTGCTGGGTGCCCAGTGGTGTCTATGCCATCTTCACAGCTGGGTCTGTAGCTCCTTTTGTGCTGAACGATTCTGAGGCTGGATTTTCCTCCTATACCTCAACGCAGTGTATCGCAACAGATTAGATTGTAGAAACAGATGTGAGAATCCAGCAATCTTCTGTGAATCCAAACTTTAAGGAAATTTGCAAAATTGTAAAACAGTTGACACCGGGAAATATGTTTTTAAAAGCGTAATGTTTATTTACAAAGATCTATCCATTTATTTTAGGGAGCGCCCTGGAGCGAAGCCCAATCCCACACAGAGGTCACGACCAGAGCGCACATCAAGAGTTGGACATCAATCCACTGTGCCACCCAGGCCCCCAAAAGTGTAATGTTTATTTTTAAAGGAAAGGTAGGGACGCCTGGGTGGCTCAGCGGTTGAGCGTCTGCCTTTGGCCCCCAGGGTGGGATCCCACGGCCCCAGGATCGAGTCCCCGGGCTCCCAGCATGGAGCTTGCTTCTCCCTCTGCCTCTGCGTCTCTCATGAATAAATAAAATCTAAAAAAAAACAAAGTAAAGGTATTCTTAATAACGGCAAACATGCACACACACACAACCCGCATTAACAGCAGCTTTCTGAGGCATCCGTCATCTTCGGAGAAGAAAGTGGTCTTGAGAGTGGGAATCGCTCCTCTTTCGGTGACTGCGGCCCAGGAGGCCATGGGGTGGGCGCTGCGGGAGGAGGGGGCGGCCCGTACCCCGCCTCCCGGCTCAGCCGACCCCCATCCCCATCCCCCCCAGCAGGGGGTTCACGCCCCAGCCTAGCGCTCAGGGCTCCGAGAAGCCCGCTCCGCCGGCAGGGCGCCTCCCCCGCCCCCGGTCTCCCTCACCCCACCGCACGGGACTGCCGGGCTGACTCCGCGTTAGGTAACAAGCAAACGGAGAACCACCCGCGTGAGGTGAGTCACATGCCTTGTTACAGAAAAAGAAGCGGGAGCTCAGACACGCCAAGTGCCTTGCGGGGCTTGCCCGACTGAGCAGACGAGGCTCATGGAACCCCCCCACCCTCGGCCCGCCCGGCCCGCGCGGCCACCCCCCCTCCCCGCCCCACTTCCCGGCCCGCCAGATCTCTACTCCCCGTCAAGCCAGTCCTGGGCGCCAGACTGCCGCCGGTCCCCTCCCGCTTGCCTCACTTCCGGCGCCCGAGCCGGAACCTTTCCGATTCTGAAATCCGCGCTCCGGAAATGAGTCACTGTGCCAGCATCAAAGATGGCTCCCTGCCCTTCCGCCGCAGTGGTCAATGGAGGAGAAGGGGGAGCAAACCCGGAAGTTGCCCGGCTCAGCCATGGCAGCCACCGGGGGCGTGGCTTCCGGCGGCTGGAGCTTGGGAGTCGGGGTGGCAGGGTCGAGGCGAGGCCGCGGCTGACAGGGGCTCCTCCCCCGACGGCGGCGGCTGGTGCCCAGGCGGACGGGCGGCCCCCAGCTCGGGGCCGCGAGAGGCGCCAGGGCCGCACCGGGGAATGGACGAGGGGAAGATGGACGAGAATGAATGGGGCTACCACGGTGAAGGCAACAAGAGCCTGGTGGTGGCCCACGCGCAGGTGAGCGGCGGAAGGTCGGCGCGGTCCCGGGCCCTCACCCCGTCCCGGGGTATTCCGCGTCCCCCAGGGTGGGCTCCACGACCCGCCAGCCCCCCGTCCCCCACCTTCCGCCCCCGCGGTCCCACACGTCCCCCAGCAGGCTTCCCCCGCCTCGGACGCACGCGGTGCCAGCTTTGAGCGGCCCGCCGGAAGGCCGCCCCGGGGAGGCTGGCGTGGGGGTCGGGGTGGCCCGGGAGGGTGTCGGGGCAGCCCAGAGGGTGTCCGGACGGCTCGGGAGGGGGTCGGGCAGCGCTGCAGGAAGCATCCAGGGGCCTGGGGCGTTGCTGCAGCTGCTGCTGGTAATGGGCCTCGCGCGGGCGCGTCTCCCAAGCGGTGGAACGTAAAGGGTTTCTCGTAATCCCGTGAGGACACCCCCGGGACTGACCCGGGGAGGAAAGTTCGTGGGTCTATGTGGCCTTCCGCCCCCCTGAGGATTTGCTGCTACCACCAGGCTGGGGTGGGGGGCAGGGGAAGAGTCCCGGGTCTCCCAGCGGGTAAGAGTTTGGTGCCATCCCAGCCCTCCCATTGCCCCCCGGGGCACTGTCCGCCTTTGCAGAGTCCCCAGTGTGGACTCGCTGGAAGGAGGAGGCAGCCGGTGGGGTGCAGGAGAACCGAGAGAAGGTCATCCCCCTGGACGCCAGTCGGCAGCCCCTCCGGGGGTTCTGCCCGGCTGTGCGGGGTGACCCCAAGGGGACCTGCAGTCACCTGGTGGCCGCTGGAGTCTGCCTGGGTTTTCTTTCCCCCGTTAGCACATCAGGGGGCTTCGCTCCACAGTCTTCACACCGGTGACCGACAAGGCTCAGCTAAAGCCATTCTTGGTGGGCGGTTGTGGTGTTGAGAGGGGGCGTGGACCGGTGCCCCTCAGCCCCTCAGCACAAACGTCTTCATTCCAGTTCCTGGGAGGCCGCTGCTGCATGGTCATGTTGTCAGCCCAGGCTGGTTTTCCTCTCTCTCTCTCTCTCTCTCTCTCTCTCTCTCTCTCTCTTGACCTCACCGTCAGGCCTCCCTGGGCCCATGCCCTTGGTGCTCAGTGTGAGTCCGAACTGATTCTGCGCTCACTCCTTCCTAGTGGTTGTGGGTGTGGTGGGGAAGGACTCCTATCTGCCGAAGTTTCTCGTTGCGCCTCTTGAACGCAGGGAGGCCTCCTGCTTCTCATGGACCTTGAGGCGTGGGGCAGAGCCCGGGAGGCAGCGCAGGGGAGGCCGAGTGTGCAGGGGTGAGCACCCCAGACTCATCTCACGCCTTCTCAGGGCAAGGGCAGTTTCGCCAGGTTCTCCAGGTTGGGAGAGCACATTCCCTCCCCTCCTGCGACAGAACAGCCAGCCAGTCCTGTGCCCCAGGGTCCGCCCTGAAGGAACATGGGGTGGAAGAGCTTCTGGCTGGCAGGTGGGGAGGCTCTGAGGGGGCAGGATTGTGAACTGTGGGGCCCAGGTGTGCAGGAGCACGTTTGGGCTCCGGAGGTCTGGGCAGTGAGCCCTGCGGGGAGGCTGGTTCCTCACAGGGTGCTTCCAGGTGGTCCCTCCTCAGTGGGCCAAGGGCTCACATCTGCTGCCCTGGGCCTGGCACTCAGCACCCCTGGGTCCAGCGCTGGCCCTTCGTGCTACTCTGATGCTGGGGCCTGCCCAGCACTGTACCGCTGGGACTCTAGGCACCCACCCCATGGAGGGGTCCTGGACAAGGGCATCTCCCCAGTGGGCGTGTGCTGTCCTCCCCCACCGCAGCCCGAGGACGCTGTCACTGTTCTCGCAGTGGTTATACCTGTGCCCTCACGGAGCTGTGGTCAGGCTGTGGCCACCCTCGCCGGCTGTCTTGTGGGATTCCTGTCTCTGCTGCTCCTGCACTCACCCTCTGTGCCTTCTTGTCTCGGTGGCTTCGGGTCTGCCCTGACCTGCAAAGGTCCCTGGGGGCCTGGCCTATATGCCATCTCTGAAGGCGTCCTCACCTCAGGGTCCTCACAGCCCCAGGGATGCCTTGCTCTCTGTTGGCAGGCAGACACGAACGACCTCCCAAGTAGGGTCTTCTGCGAATGTGCGAGGGAAGCAGCTTGTTGCTGCCTTTTCCGGTTTGACAGGCTTCCTTCTGAGATCCCGCAGGGGTGTTGGATCCTGTATCTGCAGCGTTTTGATGCCCGGGGTGTGTGTCTGGGTCCTTGCGATGCGAGCTTTGAGCAGTTGGGGCCGTCGCCTTCTGTCTTGGGTTCAGGGTTTCTGTCCGTAGAGCAAACGTGCTGGCGATGTTGCAGGCAGACAAGAACTGTGCTATTTTGGGTTTGTGTGTTGGAATATGGCACATTCCCAAGTCCTGGCCACTCCCTTCTTTAGTTTTCTGCTGAATCTAGTTCAAAGAATCTTAAGTTTTTGTTCCTTCTAGTTTTTTTTTTTTTTTTTTTTTAACAAGTAACTTATTCTGTATTTGGGATGTTTAGTGATGGTTGTCCAGGTCGATGCAGCCGATGGGATTCATTCCCTGGGGAGGCCTCAACAGTGAGCTCTGCATGGCCCTGGCTGTGATTTGCCCCCTGGGTCACTTGGGCTCACACATTAGGCTTTGTTATTTACAAACCATATTCCTTCTGGCGGTTTCCAGCCCTGCTTCTGGGGAGCTGAGCTGGCCTTCCTGGCTCCCTGGGCTGAGCGGGTGGGCCCCAGGGCCAGGTCTCCAGGGTGGCTTGCAGGCTTCCCCTCCTGCCTCACGCTTCCTGGGTACAGCAGTTGCCCTGTTGACTAGGGAGTTCAGCAAGGTTTCTCTGTCTCCTGCAGGAGGACCAGGGTGCAGAATGGGGTCCCCCACCTTGCTGTGTGTTTGGACACCTGGGGGCCTCTGGGGGCTTCGAGGGCTCCCTGCATACTTGCTCATGCTTCTCTGGGATGCCCTCACTGTGTGTTCAGACCCTTCTGTTTCTCTTCTGGCTCTCGGGTTTCCCATCCCTTCAGGGAGACCACCCAAGGGTCCCTTCTACCGCGGCCCCCAGATGTCGGCCCCGCTCCACTGTCCTGTCCCCAGCCCCACTGCTCGAATCCCTGACTGTGGCAGCAGTGGGTGCAGACAAGGCAGTCGGAGCTGATGAGGAAAGTCCTGCCTGTGTGGGCCCCTGCTGTTCCACGCAGCCCTCCCGCGGCTTGGCCCACGACCTGCCCTGTGTGAGGCTGTGCGACTCTTGTGCCCCCAGCGTCCTGCTGGTGGGCATTCTGAGCTTCGGCAGGGCCTCCCAAGAGGCGGGGCTGGCCTGACTCCCCTGCACTGAGGGCTGAGCCTTTCCCGTGAGTTGCCTGGTCCCCACTGCCTTGGGGTCTTCCAGGTGTGTCTTGAGCCTAAGATGGCTGCCCTGCTGGCACCTGCGGGTGCACTCCAACCTCGTCTGTGCCCAGGGCCCTGGAGCCTTGATTCGGCCACAGGTTCCTTCCCTTGGGTGTCTCAGGGCCCGTTTAGCGTGTTGGATTTTGTGGTCTTTCATTCTTATTTGATCCTAATCACTGCTTGCTGTCTCTGCCCAGAAAACACAGAATATCGGAGGAAAGGCAGTGAAGAGCACACAGTATTTTCCCACTAAGAAGATCATTTTGTCACCACTTTGATGTACTTTCATTTTTATGCTTATGAATCCTACATTTCCTTTTGTGTTTCCCACTTTTTCACCCGCTCTCACAGCATCAACGGGTAGAAAACCCTTCGCCCTTGCGTCAGGGCTGCAGAGCCCTCCGCCAGTTGGACCCGGCGAGGCTGCGCCGTTAGGGTCTTAGTGTTTGGAGCAGAGCTGGGTTCTTGCTGGCTCTCAGGTGTGTCTCCCAGGCTGCCTGGAACAGACTTGCTCCCTTGGAAGCAGCGAACGCTTCTGTCCCCTTCCTGAGTGACAAGTCGTGTCCTCCAGTGTGGGCTTCGGGGGGTTTGATATGCATGTGTCATGTCTGTGGGAATCCTAGATTCCCGCGTGGTGTCCTTGAGGGCATGAACGGGGTGGAGGACCCTCCGTTTCCTGCAGGGTCTCCCCAGTCCCTCCCTTTCTCTCCACCTTTGCGGCATTTTGTGCTGGATGTGAAGAAATTCCAGTTGTTTCTCCCTGGAGACACCATCACTGCTGTTGAGTCCATTCAGACCGTTCCATACAAACTGAGTGTGCACATATTTTGTTTAAAACTTTTTATCGGGCAGCTTGGGTGGCTCAGTGGTTTAGCGCCGCCTTCAGCCAGGGTGTGATCCTGGAGACCTGGGATTGAGTCCCATGTTGGGCTCCCCGCATGGAGTCTGCTTCTCCCTCTGCCTGTTTCTCTGCCTCTCTATGGGTCTCTCATGAATAAATAAATAAATCTTAAAAAAATAAAAAAAATAGAACTTTTTATCTTCTGAACTTTTAAAAATGAAGTGTAACAAACCTACGGAATGTGCCTGGATTGTAAGTGTATTACAGAGTGTCTGGACCCGTCATCCAGTGACCAGGCCTTTCTAGAACGTTCGTCAGGGATGGTCCCACCACCTGCGGGGTTGCCATCAAGTCTTGGTCTTCCCAGCTTTTGAACTTGACGTGAGCGGAACTTTGCCCATATGCCTCTCACCCGTGCGTGTGTCATATATGCCGTGTGTACCCCTTGCTCGTTCACCAGTGGATGATGGCTGCACCTGTGTCTGTGGACGTTGGTCTTAGTTTCTGGCGCCCCACACTGTGGACGGGTCCAGCCGTCCACTGTGTTCAGCCCCGGTGCCATTGTTGGCACCTTGGGTCATTTCCAGTTTACTTGGAATTAACCACACTCCCATGTCCATGCACTGCAGTTACTTTCTTGAGGTTGATTCCTGGGCATGAGCTGGCGGGACCAGAGGTGTTCCGTCCCTGTTTGCCCTCCCCACAGCCACCCCGCGGCCCCAGACTTGGGCGTGCACTGACCAGACTTCGTTTTATTTCCCAATAGCGTTGTGTGGTGCTGCGTTTCCTGAAGTTCCCTCCAAGCAGGAAGAAGGTAAGATTGGTGGGTTTGCCAACCTGTCATTAAAACAGTTATTTAATAAAATTGATTTATTTTCCTGATATGGAAGTATTAGTGCTGATTGTAGACACTCAAATGTGATGCAGCAGTCAGTGCAAAAGTGGGCTATCCATAGTTCCTGCAGGGCCAGTGTTCTGACCCCGGGTCACTGTGGGCCCCCTGGGGAGACTGTGGGTGCTGAGCCAAGGGTGAGCAGAACCCTGGGGCTGGGCTCCATGCTGTGCTACGGGCACATGCTGGTCAGAGTTCTGGCAGGTGGCAGCAGGCTGGCAGGTGGCGTGCGGGGTTTCTGGCCTGCACAGTCGGTGGGTGCTGCTCTGCTCCCCACCCCACTTGGAGCAGAGTCTGTCTCCTCCCAGGTGGGAAGCGGCAGGGGTGGTTACAAACAGCAGGCTGGGGGGTGGAAGCTGGGCTCTGCAGATGCGGGAGGGGTGAGTCAGCGCCCGGGTCAGAGATGTAGCTGGCCGGCAGGTGAAGTGGATGACTGTGGAAATGAAGGTCGTAGGTGAGGTCAGCCTCATAGAGGGAGGCTGGGGCACTGTTGGGGGGCTGCTGCGGGGGGGCGGAGCTAGAGCTGGTGTGGTCAGCCTGGAACGAGGTGACCCCGGGCCGGCGAGAAGCATGCAGGGTGGTATGTTCTGTTTGGGATCAGAGTGGAAACCAGAGCCTTGTCCAGGCAGCTTGCATCACCCCCCACCCCGAGCCGTGAACACCCGGAGAGGCCACGTTCTCTGGGTGCTTTGTCAGCCTTTCTTGCAGGTTCACTGGGTTAGCATCTTCCAAGGCAGTAGTTTGTAATTGTTTTATGACTTGCATGACGTGACCCCGGCCACGGGGAGAGGGGACTAAGATGGGGAGCCTGACGCCAGGAGCTCTGGCCACAGCTGTCAGTGCCTCTGGGCACCCCGGGGTCTCCTGTCAGGCGTTCTTCCGACACCAGCCTCGGTCTGCTTGTGATCTGGGACCCTACAAGCATCTGCAGCCTGCTGCCCCCCCCCCCCTCCCGGCCCTGCTGTTCCCCCTGGGACTTGCCATCCTGGGCCAGAGGGAGGGATTCACTGATTTTCTTTCTCTCCCAAACCTCACAGCCTGTGGGGTAATGCCCTTGACTGGGGAGGAGGTGCTCTACATCTGGGTGCTGAGGATAAATCCAAATACCTAGTGGTTTTGGGCCCAGAGAGATTTTCAGAGTCGCATTTGTCAGAGGGCGTGTCCTGGGTGGGAGGAGGACAGGGGCCTGGGCTGTGGGACGGGAGCTCCCTCTGCGTAGTGTGATTCCCGCCATCCAGGCCTCCTTGTGCTTGTGTTTTACAGACGTCAGAAGAGATCTTTGAGCACCTGCAGAACATAGTGGACTTCAGCAAGAACGTCATGAGAGAGTTTTTGGGGGAGAGCTATGTCCATTGTGGGGTGAGTGACTTATTTACACAGTGAGAGTTCACAGGCCTGTTCTATATCAGGAGTACCATTAAGAGTATCAGCTTATCCACTGTCATTTGGACCTCTGTGCTTCGTGACGACCCCGTGTTCCTGTCCTGCGTGCTTCTCTGTGCTACACGGCAGGATCAGAGCCACTAGTTCTCTTCCTATTTTCTAGCTGAGAAGCAGGAGGTTCGGAGAGACCACTTAAGACTGCGTCTGCCGGGACCCCTGGTCCCTGCTACCCCGCCATTATGGGGGGCGCTCCAGCTTGGTGCAGCTCCCGGTGGGGGGGGTGGGGATCTGCCACAGGTTGGCCCCCTGGGGAGCTGGTGGGGCGGTGTTGGCTGAGGAGCTTCAGCCCTACCCAGTGTGGGCTCACGGGAAGGGGTGTGTCCCTACGACCTGACCCTGGCTGCCCAGGTCCCAGTCTGGGGGATATGTTGTCCTGGGGTCATGTCTCCTTCCTACGGCCCCCTGCTGGCCTCCTAGATCACCCTGGGGTGGGGGTGGGGACTGCACCGGTGGGGGTGCCCCTGCGGTCTTCCTGGGGTCCCCCACAGTTCAGCTGTGAAGGCAGGAAACCCCTGGCTATGGGGGCCCAGTGTGTCTGAGTGGATGCAGCCATGCTGATTCCCAGCGTCAGCTTGAGGAGAGGGTGATTCCTCTGCCTTACCGCACATGGGGGGCTCTGGGCCTTTGTCCTGGGAGGATCTGTGCCGAGGGCAGTGGGGAGCTGGGGGTTCCAGCTGACGGGGACTGGCAGGTGGAACAGCGTCAGGATGTGCCCCCAGGGCCCAGGGGAGCGCTCTGGCTCCAGGTCCGGTTGTGTTTGTCCCAGGTGGACGGGGCTTTGGGCGAATGAGGGAGCCTGCTAGGTCACATTCTAGGAACATCCACCCCACGGACATGCCTCCTCTGCAGCCATCCCTGCATCCCCTCCAGGGCAGGTGCCTGTCAGTGGGCAAGCTGGTGGGCTACTCCATCCGCTGAGCACATCTGGGGAGGGAGTCCTCAGTTAGTACTTTGTGTGGTGCTGGCCACCTGCCCTACTGATGACCGCCCTCGGTCCGTCCATCTGGCAGGATCGCTTGGTCCATGCAGGCTCAGGAGGCTGAGTGAAGGCTTGGTAAATGTAGCCTGGTGTTAAGGATCCCTAAAACAGAACTAACTCATCATAAAATTGGGAATTTAAAGTTGTTGGAAGAAATGCAGTTCTACTTTTACCTGGTGTCTGACGTGGCAGGGTGGTGGGTGTACTCGGGGCTGGGAGTAGCTGCATCACTTATGGCTCCCCATGGGTCCTGTCCGCTGCTTGCTGTGCTCCCCTCACAGTGGCCTCAGCCGGTGTGGGTGCCAGGGTGCAGGCACGGTAATCTGCTGGGGGCGCACCTTTCACCTGGAAGCCTGTCGCTTCCTGCGCAGGAACCTTTGCGTCTGTCTGATCGGGTTGTGTCCTTAAGATAACAGCAGTTTTTCCTACTGAACTCAGATACTGAGTCATTTGTTACTATGAGAAAATATACGTAACATAAAGTTAACCATTTTAACCATTTTTGAGCGTGCAGTTCTGTGGCGTGGGCACATTCTTGCTGTTGTCTGGCGCGCCGAATGTTTCCTACATGTTGTTACAGGAAGTGGTGCAGCTGCCATTAGATTTCGTGAAGCAGCTCTGTGTGAAGATCCAGTCCGAGAGACCAGGTAAGCCTTCCACCTGCAGCTCTTGTTGGTGATTTATTTTATTTTATTTTATTTTATTTTATTTTATTTTATTTTATTTTATTTTATTTTATTTTATTTATTTTATTTTTATTTTTATTTTATTTTATTTTATTTTATATTTTATTTTGTTTTGTTTTGTTTGTGATTTAAATATTACATTTGGAACATGTTTGACAACGATTTGTATGAGGTCAATGTAGTTTTCAGCAGTTTTGCCAGAAACTTCGTTCTCAGCCTGAAGTGCTAGGAGCTCGTCTGAGCCATGCCCCACACAGGGGGCTGAGGGAGCTGGTGCAGCGTGGACGCAGGGAGGGGACGGGGCTGCCTGGGCGCTGTGGGGTCAGCTGCCCCGAGGACCATTTCCCAGAAGCTGGAATCTACCTGCCTGCCTGTCCTCCTGCCTGCCACCCTTCTACCTCCCTGCCTGCCCGTCCATAGGCCCACTCGTCCTCCTGTCTGTCCACCTGCCTGCCTGTCCCACCTGCCTGCCTGTCCTCTTGTGGGCGGTGGAGGGTCGTGAATTTCAGTGGGTGGAGCTTCCCTCTTTGCCCCCCGTGCCTTCCTGCACTTGTTGGTGGCAGTAACGACAATAAGTGCATCAGAGCTTTTCCTTTCAGGGACTGGATGTGGCGCCTGTGGTGTGGACGGAGGCCCTGCTGCCTCCTGAAGCAGCGCCAGCTGATGTCTGGTCCTGTGGTTGTGAGGGAGAAGGCTTCTGGTCTGGGGCACCTTGCGGAGCGGGGCTCCCTGGCGGGGGAAGGAGGCTGGGCTGGGTCTCGGCCACTCCCCTTGGGGCGGGGACAGACAGGCGTGCTCTGGGGGCTCTGCATCAGCCTACATTTGAATGTGTGCCATGTACAGTCTTGAGAACTGCCCTTGTGGTAACGCCTCGCGATTGGCCTTGTTGCCTGAACAGGGGACAGCCCCCTGCCCTGGGCCCTGAGGCTGCATCCTGCTCGGCTGGCCTGTGCCCAGCGGTGGTGGGGAGCATGAGGCCCCCGTATGTTTGGGGGCCCCCACAGTGACCTCAGGTCTGCTGGTTTGCTAGAAGGACCTGGACCTCTCTGTGGCCTCATGGCTAAGGCTTCTCGTCCCGCAGGATGCAGATGACACCCAGACGAGGGCAGTGGGGCACTCGGATGCATTTGGGAGATGGTGAGCTCCCAGGCAGCCTTTCTGCCGGCTCCACATGCACGGGACTGGCTTCTCCCACAGGGTGTGACTGCACACAGGGAGGGCGCTGGCCACTCTACAGGGCCTGCGCCTCCCCTCCCCCATGGAGCACAGTGTCATACTTGTGTGACCCAGAGGCCCTAGATGAACATGGCAGGACCCCAGGAGCCTGGGGCCACAGCCTCTAGGGCAGGGCTGAGCCTCCCCTGCAGAGGTCCCCATGTAGCCAGCAGCCATCTCTGAGTCCTGCGCCCAAGTCTTACAGCTTCTCTTGGCTCTTCCAGAATCTCGCTGTGACAAGGACCTGGACACTCTGAGTGGCTACGCCCTGTGCCTTCCCAACCTAGCCCGACTTCAGACCTACTGTTTTGCAGAGCACCGGCCTATTCTGTGTGTGGAGATCAAGGTGACCTGTGTCTACGGAGGGGGAGGGGGTGGGGGTGGGCTCAGGGTCGATATCTGTGTCTGCTGCCTGTAGTGCAGGGTGCAGCCAGTCAAGGCTCCCCTCCGTGCCTGCTCCCCTCTGCGTCTTCCCTGCTCAGCCTCCCCTCCCCACTCCTCCCCAGCCCCCTCCCCTCCTCCCTATCCCACAGGGCCTCCCCTCCCCTCCCCCCCATCCTGGTCCCACCTCTCACAGAGTCTGCTTGCTCCCCCTCGTTTGCATCTGTCACCTCACCTGCTGCTCTGGTGCTTACCACTGGCCAGTCCCATGTCTGGTGCTTCCCATGGGGCCAGCTGGGGACCAGCCCTGGCCAGTGGCCACCAGAAAGGACTGTGCTGGTTCTGCCCTCCCTGCTTCCCTGGGGGGAGCTGCCTGCCAGGCCCCATCCCCTCCTTCTAAGCTGAGCCCCTTGGCTGCTGGGTGACACTGCACGGCCCTCCAGGAGCTCCCACTAGGAGCTTGTTCAGGTGCCACCTGTTTGATGGGTGGCCATGCCCTTCCTTTGCGTCCTACCCAGGAGAGACGAGAGAGCCTTGTGTTACTCTTCCAGAGGCACATCCTCCCCCCTCCCCCTCCACCCCCCCCCGCCATGCAGGAGATCCAGGGCATGGCATCAGCTGTGCTGCCCAATGTGCCCGTGTCCCCCCCTCCCGTGTCCCCCCCCCAGGGAAGCCTCCCAGATGTCCCAGGCCGTGATTCCTGGGTCGTGTCCCCTGGGTGCTCTGTGGGGACTGATGTCCTGTTCGCCCAACCACAGGGTGAGTGTGCTGGGTCCTCAGAGTGCTGACACCAGGCACTCATTGTCTGTGCCCTGAAGGCAGCAGATGGGGGTGCCTGGGTGGCTCAGTGAGGCGTCGGACCCATGACCTCAGCTGGGTTGTGACCTTGGGGCCATGAGACCGAGCCCTGTGTGGGGCTCTGTGCTCGGTGTGGAGCCTGCTTGACGGCTTTCTTTCTCTGCTCCTCTGCCCCCTGCTCACGTGTGTGTGCTTGCTCACTCTTGAATGAATGAATGTTGGATGGGCAGTGGGTGTTCTGGGAGCCGAACAGCTGTGGATGGGCCTTCCTGGTCAGCCTGTATCCCAGGGAACAGGGCTGCTATTTCGAGCTGGGGCAGACTGCACTCCTATAGGCCTTCTTGTCACGTCCTGTCACAGAAGAAATGCAAAGCTGCCCTGCATTGTCCTCTGGCCACTGGTAGGGCACCTCTGCTTTCCCCACGAGAGCTCTGGCCTCAGACTCTGTAGCGGCAAAGATTTTATGTGTTGTGAGGAGGCAGGTGCCCACTTCTGCCGGGGCTGCAGATAAAAGCAGCTTTTGGGGACAGATTGACTGATTCCTCCAGTATCTTATCTGTCATCTCGTCTCCTGAATGGATTTTTTAGGATTTATCCCTAAACGTTTTTTTCTTCCTTGTTTATTTTGCAGCCAAAATGTGGGTTTATTCCTTTCTCAAGTGATGTTATGCACGAGGTGAAGCACAAAGTGTGCCGTTACTGCATGCACCAGCGCCTCAAGGTGAGATGCGCGGCCAACGGCGTCTGCCCGGGGCCCCAGGGCCAGTGTGGGTCCCAGGTGTGGCCGGATAAGTAAAAGAAAGTGTAGATCCTCCTTTTTTCCTTTACTTTTTCTTTCATAGGTAATTCATGTTCACCTTTTTTTTTTTTTAATCTCAAATTGAGATGTAGTTCACATATCTTAAGTTCACCCATTTAAAGTGCATAATTCAGTGGATTTTAGTGACTTTGCATGATGGTGCTGCCGTCATCACTCAAATTCCAGAATAATTTCATCACCCCACAAAGCATCCTGTCCCCATTAGCAGCCACTCCCCAGACCCCGTCTGGCCAGCCCCTGGTAGCCACCTGCCCCGTGGATTAGCCTGTTCTGGACATTTCACATGGATGGAATCCCGGCCCCTGCGGCCTCAGCTTGAACACTGTTCCATTGTATCATTCATCTCTTGATGGCCATGTGGGTTGTTTTTGCCTTCCAGCTGTTGTGAGTGGTGCTGCTGTGAACATGCACGTACATGTGCTTGCTTGTTTGCATCACTCCTTTCATTTCTCCTGGGTTGAGTCCTAGGAGTGGAATTGCTGGGTCTCAGAGAGATTGTGTTTAGTTTTTTTAGCAAATGTCAAGCTGTTTTTCACAGCTTGTGTGCCATTTTGTATTCCTGCCAGCAATGTCTGAGGGTCTGATCTCCCCACATCTTTGCGGGCACTTGCAGTGTCTCTGTGATTATGGGGGAACCCAGGGGGGCATGAAGTGGCACCTCCCTGTGGTTTTCATCTGCGCTTCCCTGATGGTTTACTGATGTTGCCTATATTTTCATGTGCTTATCGGCCATTGATGTTTTCTTTTGAGGAACATCAGTTCAAGTCCTTTACCCATTATGAATTGGGTTATTTTTTGTTGAGTTTTAGGGGTTCTGTATATATTTTGGATATTCTTTATCAGATGTGTGATTCGCAAGTATCTTCTCCCATCCTGTCAATTATCTTTACTCTGTTGATAGTGTCCTCTGATGCACAAAAGTTTTTAATCTTACTAAAGTTTAGTTTGTGTGTTTTTCCTTTTCTTGTCTGTGCTTTTGGTGTCAATAGCTAAGAAATCATTACCTAATCCAAGGTCATGAAGCTTTTCCCCTACGGTTTTTTTTTTTTTTTTAAATTTTATTTATTTATGATAGTCACAGAGAGAGAGAGAGAGAGAGGCAGAGACACAGGCAGAGGGAGAAGCAGGCTCCATGCACCGGGAGCCCGATATGGGATTCGATCCCGGGTCTCCAGGATCGCGCCCTGGGCCAAAGGCAGGCGCCAAACCCCTGCGCCACCCAGGGATCCCCTCCCCTACGGTTTTGATCCATTTTATGTTAATTCTTGTATTTGAAAGGAGATAAGTCTCCAATTTCTTTTGCATTTACTTCTAGTTTTCCCAGTGCCATTTGTTGAAATGACTGTCCTTTCTCTATTGAGTGGTCTTGGCTCCCTCATCAGAGATGTTTTGGCTGTAAATGTGGCTTGTGTCTGGGCTCCCTGTTCTGTACCAGATGCCTCTGTGTCAGTCCTTATGCCAGCCTGGTGCTTTGTTTTGATTCTATAGCTTTGCAGTCAGTTTTGAAATCAAGAAGTTTGAGTTCTCCTGCTTTGTTCTTTTTCAAGATTGTGTTGGCTTTTTGGGACTCCTTATACTTACATATGATTTTGAGGATTGGATTTTTCATTTTTGCAAGAAAAGATTGAGGTTTTTGACAATCGCAGGAGCTTGTAGATCACTTTGGGTAGTGGTATTGCCATCTTAACAGTATTAAGACTTAAAATCCATGAACACAGGCCGTTTTTCCACTTATTTAGGTCTTAAAATTTCAGCAACATTTTATAGCTTTTAGGGTGCAAGTCTTTTACCACTTGGTAAATATATTTCTATGTATTTTATTCTTTCAGGATATTGTAAATATGATAAATGGAATTACTTTAATTTTCTTCTCAGACTGTTTATTGCTGGTTTATAGAAACACAATTTTTTTTGAAGATTTTATCCACTTATTAGAGTGAGAGCACAAGCAGAGAGGCAGAGGAAGAGGGAGAAGCAGCAGACTCCTCACTGAGCAGGGAGTCCAATGCAGGACTCAATCCCAGGACCCTGAGATCATGACCTGAGCTGAGGACAGACACTTAGCTGACAGAGCCACTCAGGAGCCCTGAAGCACAACTGATTTTTGTATATTGAAAATATACAATATTTTGTACCTGCAGCTTTGCTGAGAGGTTTTCTTGTAGATTCTTTGGAATTTTTTAAGTAGAGGATCATGTCATCTCTGAATAGAATTTTCTTTTCCAATTTATTTATTATTTTTTTAAGATTTTATTTATTTATTCATGATAGACATAGAGAGTGAGTGAGGCAGAGACACAGGCAGAAGGAGAAACAGGCTCCATGTCGGGAGCCCGACGCGGGACTCGATCCTGGGACTCCAGGATTGTGCCCTGGGCCAAGGGCAGGCGCTAAACTGCTGAGCCACCCAGGGATCCCCTCTTTTCCAATTTAGATGTCTAGCTTCTCATGGAATTGATAGGGATCCCACTGAATTGCAAATCAATTTAGGAGGTATTGCCACCTCTGTATTCTGTGAACACAGGATGTTTTTTCCTTTATTTAGGATTTTTTTATTTAATTTTTATTTATTTATGATAGTCACAGAGAGAGAGAGAGAGGCAGAGACACAGGCAGAGGGAGAAGCAGACTCCATGCACCAGGAGCCCGATGTGGGATTCGATCCCGGGTCTCCAGGATCGCGCCCTGGGCCAAAGGCAGGCGCCAAACCGCTGCGCCACCCAGGGATCCCCCTTTATTTAGGATTTTAATTTCATTCAGTGATGTTTTATAGTTTTCAGTGTCTAAGTCTTAGACTTAAAAGAAAAAAAAACATTTATTCATGAGAGACAGAGAGAGAGAGGCAGAGACACACACGCAGAGGGAAAAGCAGGCTTCCTGCAGGGAGCCCAATGGGGGACTTGATCCCAGGAGCCCGGGGTCACGCCTTGAGTCAGAGTCAGACGCTCAATCACTGAGCCACCCAGGCATCCCTCTTAGACTTCTTTTGTTAAATTTATCTTTAAGTATTTTATTATTTTGGATGCTCTTGTAATTTTTTATTTCATTTTAAGGTTATTACATAAAAATATAATTGATTTTTTAAATATGTGTATTTCACAATTAAAAATATATAACATAAAACTTACCATGTTAACCATTCAGTTACATTGTTGTGCAGCCATCACCACCACCCATCTCCAGAATTTTTCATCATCCCAAACTGAAACTGTTAAACAACTCCGTATTTCCTTTTCCTCAGCTCCTGGCAACCATCATCCTAGTTTCTGCCTCTGAATTTCACTACTGTAGCTGCTTCAGATAAATGGAATTATACACTATTTGTCCTTTTGTGACTGACTCATTTCATTTATGTTCTCAAGGTTTTCCACATTGTGAAATATGTCAGAATTCCCTTCCTTTTTAAGACTAATAGTCCATTGATTATATATACCACATTTTTAATCCATTTATCCAGTGATACACACTGAGTTGCTGTCTTTTGGCTTTTGTGAATCCTGCTCTTTTGAACATGGGTGTGCAAATATCTCTGAAATTCTCCTTTCGGTTCTCTTGACTGTATACCCAGAAGTACGATTGTTGGTCATATGGTAACTTTGTTTTTTTAAAGGTTTTATTTATTTGTTCATGAGAGGCAGAGAGAGAGAGAGGCAGAGACACAGGCAGAGGGAGAAGCAGGCTCCATGCAGGGAGCCTGATATGGGACTCGATCCTGGGTCTCCAGGATCACGCCCTGGGCTGAAGGCGGTGCTAAACCACTGAGCCACCTGGGCTGCCCGGTAACTTTGTTTTTAATTACAGGGAACCACCATACTGTTTTCCACAGCACCTGGACCATTTTACATTCCTGCCAGGGTATATCAGAGTTCCACTTTCTCCACACCCTTATCAACACTTGTTTCTGTTTTCTGATAGCAGCCATTCTAATGAGTGTGAGGTGAGAAATGCACCTGTTTTTTGTATATTGATATCCTGCCATCCTTGATGAACCTGTTTCTTTGCTCTATTCTTTTTTTTTTTTTTTTTTTTTTTTTTTTTTTTTTTTTTTTTTTTTTAGTGGTGGTGGTTTTTTAGAATTTTCTGTGTACATGACCAGATCACTTGCAAAGAGGGATAGTTTTACTTGGTTTTCTAATCTGGGTGCCCTTTGTTTTTCTTCCCTAATTGATCTGGTTAGAACTTGTAGTAGAAGCGCGAGTGGACATCCTTATCTTGTTCCTGATCTCAGGCGGAAGCTTTCAGTCTTGCATCACTGAGTGTAACATTCATTGTGAGCTGGTCGTAGACATTTGTTTTGAGTTTTTTCTTCTTTTTTTTTTTAATCATAAAAGAATGTTAGATTTTGTCCTACATTTATTGAGATAATCATGCGGTGCCTTCCTTTCTATTATATTGATTGACTTTCACATGTTGAACCACCCTTGTATTGCTGGGATAAAGTTCATTTTTATTGTGGGTATGTAGTCCCTTAAATGTGCTGCTAAATTTGGTTTGTTAGTTTTTATTGAAGGTTTTTTCTTTTTCTTTCTTTTTTTAAAAGATTTTATTTATTTTCATGAGAGACCGAGAGAGAGAGACAGAGAGAGAGAGGCAGAGAGACATAGGCAGAGGGAGAAGCAGACTCCATGCAGGGAGCCTGACGCAGGACTCGATCTCGGGACTCCAGGATCACACCCTGGGCTGAAGGCAGGCTCTAAACTGCTGAGCTACCCAGGGATCCCCTTGAAGGTTTTTTCTTAAGAGATGTTGTTCTGCAGTATTCTTTTCTAGTGAAGTTTTGTCTGATTTTGGTACCAGGGTGGTAACTTTGGGTTCACAGAACCAAGTTAAGAAGTGTTTCCTTCTCTCCCTTCTAATTTTTGGAAGAGTTTGAATATCGGTCTTGATTCTTCTTTAATCATTTGATAGAATTAACAAGTGAAGTCATCTGGTCCTGGGGTTTCCTTTTTTGGGAGATTTTTGATTACTGGTTCAGTCTCTTACTGTTATTCTGTTCAGATTCTCTATTTATTCCTCAGTTTTGGTAGTTGTGTGTTTTTAAAAATTTGTGCATTTCATCTAATTTGTTGATTCATAATACTCAAATTCTTTTTTATTTCTGCAAGGTTGGGAGTAATATCCATTCTTTCATTAATTTTTTTCAGATATTTTTTTGATCTGGCCAAGGGATTGTAATAGTTGATCTTTTCAAGAAACAACTTTTGATTTTGTTCTTTTTCTTCATTTTACCCCCTGTTCTTCATTTCATCTGTCTCTGCACTAATCTTTACTCTTTTTTTCCCCTTTATCTGCATTGGACTCAGGTTGGACTTATTTTTCTAGTTGGTGAGTGTAGAAACTTAGGTTATTGATTGAAGGTTTTTCTTCTTTTTCATATAGGTATTTTACAAGTATAAATTTCCACGTAAGCACTGCTCTTTCTGCCTCCCATAAATTTTGGTATGTTGTATTTTCATTCTATCTCAATTTTCTGATTTCCCTGTTGATTTCTTCTTTGACTCATTGATGATTAGGAATGTGTTTAGATATCTCATATTTGTGAGTGTCTCAAGAAAATTTTGTTTTTTGCTATTGATTTCTAATTTCATTCCACTGAGTTTGGAGAACATTTGCATGACTTCATGCCCCCTTGAGAATGTTCCATGTTTACTTGATTAGAATGTGTATTCTGCTGTTTTGGGGTAAAGTGTCCTCTAGATGTTTATTAGGTCTAACTGGTTCAGTGTGTGGTTCAAGTCTTATGTTTTGTTGTTGATTTTCTGTCTAGTTACTCGTTTAACATCGTAAGCTAAACAGTCTAGCTCAGTTAATAGCAATTTAATTTCACTGGTGTACAAAAACTCTGCCTCTTGTAGCTTTGTTGCCTCCCCCCTTGTAAATTAATCTTTATACAAAAAAAAAAATTAATCTTTATACTTATTTTGCTCGTCAGTACAGATTCCTTTGGCCAGGTGAGGGACATTCTGTTTTTAAAAAGGGATGGGATAAAAAGTTATAAAAAGAATATATATTGTCTTTTATGTTTACCTACCTGTGAAGTTCCTTTAGCGCGCTGTGCTCTTTATTTCTTCATGTGAATTCAAGTTACTATCTAAGTGTTCTTTTCAGCCTGAAGGTTTACTCTTGTAGGGCAGGTTAGTGAACACATTTGGTTTTTTTAGTTACCATTCATCTGGCCGTGTCTTAATTACTCCTTCATTTCAAAGGATAGTTTTATAGATGAACTTTTGGTTGACAGTCTTTCAGCACCTAGATTTCCTTGAATTCCTGCAACTAGTAAGTCTTTGCTCAGGGCCTCTGTGTGTACACGGGGCCACCGTCAACACTCAGCCAGGCGCTTGCAACTCTACTTAGCCTTCACTTCCTCAGATCCTCAGATCAGCAGAAGGTGAGGGCCTTTTTAAGGTCTTTCCAGAGACTGTGCATGGCCTTGTAGATGCTCAGGTCATGCTGGAGCTTTCCAAAGCCCTGTGTATATCTCATTCCTCAGCGTTTTCTTTTTTAGCTTTAGGTTAGCCTAATTGTTACAACTGTTATCCACTCTCTCAGGTAGCCATGAAGTTAAACAGTTGCTTCTGATGGTTTTCACAAATGCCACTTGGGAGAATGTCCCTTTTGCACCTGGAAAGCTCTGAGTCAGGTAATGAAGATGGGAAATGAAGAGAGGTCACATAATGACCATTCTTTGAGAATGAGAGTTTGGAGTAACTCCTGCTTGGTTCAGCCCCTCTGGTGGCTGCTGGGCTTCTGTTTTTACCAGCATCGGGGCTGGTTTTTTTTTCTTTTCTTTTCTTTTTTTTTTTTTAAGATTTTAATTTATTTATTCACGAGACACAGAGATAGAGGCAGAGACACAGGCCGAGGGAGAAGCAGGCTCCATGCAGGGAGCCCGATGTGGGACTCAATCCTGGGTCTCCAGGATCACACCCTGGGCTGAAGACGGCGCTAAACTGCTGAGCCATCAGGGCTGCCCTGGGGCTGTGGTTTTTAAGATTTCCTTGGAATTAGAAGAGTGGATAGAGCATTAAAAATACCACAAACTTCACTGTTTTTAGATGTGGTCATTTTTCTTGAGTAAATGGTCCCCAGAGTGTTGCAAGCCTTTGGTTACTTTACAGAATTCTGAAAGTTTTGATTCTGACCGTTTTCTCCTTGCCTCCTTATGGAGGAGAGACTTTTCCAGAGGTCTTTACTCCCCACTTTTACTGACTCACCTCACCTTTTCTTGTGGTGTTAACAACTTGAGCTATTCCTTTTAGGAGATGATTTTCATTGTCACTATTCATTTGATGGATTTTTAGGAACTGCTTTTTACTATGAAGCAGTACCTGCTCATTCAACTGGTAAGATACAGAATTGTAGGAATTAGGTCACCTGATTTCCCAGAGGTAACCCAGTCAGTTTCCACATCCTTCCAGACTTCTCTCTCTGCCAACACAAATATACATGTTACCCAGCTGAAAATGAGATGATGCTTTTTCCCATGTGTATTCTAGCATGTACTTACATGTGCAGGGACACATACTTTTATAAAGCAAATACGGGGTCTCACTATATGTTGTTGCTTTGTTAATTGCTTTTTTCACTTAACTAATCCTTGAGGACTATTGTGTATCCTTCAAGGTTTTTTCAACATATATTTGGATATATGCACGTATGGAGACAGTTTTTTTTTTTTTTTAAGCAAAGTAATATCATTTCCACTTATACAAATTGCTTTTTTCCTTGAGTAAATGTTAGTGATTTTTCATTTTGTCTTTTTCCTGTAAGTAGCTGGCTATCATTTATTCATTCCTTCATTTAGCATATGGCTGCCTTTTTTTTTTTTTTAAGGATTTTATTTATTCATGAGAGAGAGAGAGGCAGAGACACAGGCAGAGGGAGAAGCAGGCTCCATGCAGGGAGCCTGATATGGGACTCGATCCCGGGTCTTCAGGATCAGGCCCTGGGCCAAAGGCAGTGCTAAACCACTGAGCCACGTGGGCTGCCCAGCATGTGGCCTTCTATGTTCTGGGTCCATGGAGCAGATGCGCTGCCAAGTTGTTTCCAGATCTCGCTATTAGAGTCAAGCTGCAGTGAACATCCTTGATCTTGTGACTCCTCAGAGATTTGCCAAGTCAAGGGGTACCCACATTTAAAATTTGATGGAAACCAGCAGGTTAACTTCAAAAGGTTGTGCCAATATATCTTCTCTCTGAAAATATGAAATTATTTGTTAGCCACACTCTCCTCTTCCTGAATATTACAACTTTAAAGATTTGTTCATCTGATTACCATAATTTAGCTGTGTCATTTTGAGAAGGTCCCTGCTGCCAGCTTCCCTGCTCCTGTGGAGAGTGGGGCTAGAGCTCCTGAATTTGGGGTGAAGCCCTGGCTGCGGCTGTGGCCTCTGCTGGGCCCCTCAGCACCCTGTCAGCTCACGGAGGCGTTTGCCCAGTGCTGCCCATCAGTCATTTACTCCACTTGCTGCTTTAACAGGTGGAAACTGGGAAGTGGAAGCAGATAAGCAAATACTGTCCTCTTGATCTCTACTCAGGGTAAGAGAGCACACCTTGGTAGTGCCACCTCTGGGGGGTGGGGTGCAGGGAGCGGGGCCCTCTCCTGCTGGTGTCTAGGGCCCTGGGCAGAGCTCCGGGCTCTTGGCTCCCACAGGTGAGCTGTGGGAGGCAGCAGCTGGGGAATGGAGGGGTTTGGGGGCAGTGATGGGTGGCCTCCCCCACTAAGATGGCTCCTTAGCCCACAGAGCCTGAGGTCCTCTTAGGCTCCCAGCAGCATGTCCCATCCCCTGAGCCATGGGCTGGTGAAAGCAAAGACTGCATGTGATTCTATCAGCACTGTCTTCTCCTTTTAGAAACAAGCAGAGGATGCACTTTGCCTTGAAGAGCTTGTTGCATGAGGCCCAGAACAACTTAAAGATATTTAAGGTAAGAGTTGTGTTTGCATGGATTTGAGATGTGGGTGAGAAGGGGCCTCGCCGTCCAGTCCCTCAGCCTCACAGGCCTGGGGTGGGGGTGGGGGGGTTGCCGCCACTGCATGGGGGCTGCGGTGTCTCCTGCCCCAGACCGCAGGCCTAGCCCTGGCCCCTCTCTTGGTGTCAGCCTCCGGTGCCTGGTCCTGCTAGCACGTGGCCTGGCCCTGCCCCCCTGCCCCAGCCCTAGAGCTCCTGCTCACCCTTCCGTGTGCCGCCTTCCTGCCAAAGGCCCATCTCGGGTCAGTGGTCTTGTGATGGTTTTCCCGGGCCTCATGGTCATCAGACACCCAAGTTGTGTGCCTCTTGCTCTGACGTGACAGGAGACCCAAGTGGGGGCGGGGGGGGGGCATCACACATGCTCCTGGATCCCAGGGCCCAGAGGTATGAGGAGGGCCCAGTACACACTTTGTGGACTGACATGTTATGTGCTACCTGGGGACAGGGCAAGCTCGTCCTCTGTCCCCGCAGCTGGCTCAGGCTCCCTCTTGAGCCCTCTTGACGGCCTGGTCAGGACCAGAGGTGGTGCTCCAGGGTTGTGTCCCTGACAGGGTGGGCAGGATGCTATGCTTTCTGGCCTCAAGGGGGCTCCTGGGGCTGCTCAGCATGGCTTGTGGCTTGAGAAGGGTTAGGAGGGAAGTCCTGCCCCACGGGGGACAGCCACAGGCTGAGTGTGGAGGGACCTGGACTGTCTGAGGTTGTTGACCTCATCTTTCAGGTAAGGGAACCAGGGGATAAGAGTCGGTCACACCTGGGGATGGCTGCTGCTCAGCGTGCAGGGATCAGGCCCCGAGGGGTTATAGGACAGCCCCCCAGGGGTCCCTGCTTGCTGCCCTGGGAATGTTGGCGCCATGAGAGTTTCTTTGCTGGACATGGTTTAAAGGCAGGGATGGTCTGGGGGATGAGGCTATCCACACTGACAACATGGGTGGCCTCTCCGCCTGCAGGAAGGACAGAGGTCCCCAGATACAGGTGCCCCTGACTACTCAGGGTCATGCTGACCCTGTCTTCGGGGAGCACGGGGGTCACGGGGCTCCTTGAATACCAGGCATGAGTCTTCTGGGGTTTGGGCTTCGGGTGGTGCTTGCCTGAGGCTCTCTTTCCTTTGTTCTTTTCCATGTCAGTCAGCGACATGGTGCGTGTGGGGGCAGTTTCCCTGGAGGGTCACAGTGTGCAGGGCCCAGACAGGCACCCATCCTGCATAGTGGGCATGGCCGTGGGGGTGACGGGTCCCTGTTTCTCCTCTTGAAGAATGGTGAGCTGATCTATGGCTGCACAGATGCCCGCAGCCCTGTGGCTGACTGGACGGAGCTCGCGCACCACCTGAAGCCCTTTTTCTTCCCTTCTAACGGCCTGGCTGGCGGGTCCCACTGCACAAGGGCTGTGATCCGGGACCTGGTGCACGTCATCACCCGGGTGCTGCTGAGCGGCTCCGACAAGGGCCGGGCGGGGACCCTGTGGCGGGGGCCTGGGCTACGGGGTCCCCGTGTCTGTGAAGCCAGCCCTTTCAGCAGGAGCCGCCAAGGTAGGCCGGGCGGGGAGGGCTCTGGAGGACGGGGGGTACCTGCCAGGGTCCTGCCTGGCCTCACGGAGCTCTCGCGGGGGCAGCTTGGGTCATCAGGGCCTCCTTGCGGCCACCCTGCTGGGGACGATCCTGCCTCACCTTCCTTGGGGATCTGGGGCCTCCCCAAAAACACCACCCTGTGTCTGTGTGTCCCTGTAGTTTGCTGAGTACCTCCCCACTGGCCTATGGGCCTGCCTGGCCACCCTGCAGGGGAGGATCTCCTGGGGGCCCGCAGCTCCAGGCCCCAGGGTGGGGTGTCCCAGCTTAAGAGGCAGCTCGGTGGCCCACCTGGGTTTGTGCTGAGTGTTCTCGGGCTCCTTGTTGTCCCTGGGCTGCCTGTGGCCTGTGCACGGGAGCTGAGTCAGGACCTCCTTCGTCACTGAGGAGGAACGCTCCTCATTCCTGTTTTGGGTTGAAGGCCCCATGGGGTGGCACAAGGGCAGCAGCCTGTTCCTGCACAGTATGGGTGCTGCTGTACTGGCCAAGCAGTTACCCCAGGACTGCACAGCACCAGCCGTCTGCTGCTCCTGCGAGTTGTTCTCAAACACATTTTTTGGCCTTTTTCTTGAAAAAGTGATACGTGATCATTTCAGAAAATTGTGGTGGAATTATGCCCACATTTGGGCTTCTGAGCAGATGGCAGCATGTGGTGGGTGTGGAGAGCCCCAGGGACTGCTCCCCTGGCTCTTCCCGGACATGTGGCGTCAGCAGGACCCTGGGGTGTGTTTGAGGCCACACAGCCACCCTGGAACCTGGTATTTTGGCCTAATTACCAAATGTGTGTCCACAGTTGTAGTTCTTGAATTTTTACTGATGATGAGCTAGGCATTCCGCGTTGGTCCCCCATGAGTCTGTGCTCTCACGTGGTCGTGTGGCCAAGTGGGTCCTGCCAGCAGTGGGATGTCAGAGGTCAGAGTGTCTCCCCTTGAGGGGAGAGGGGCCAGGACTCACCAATGCCCTGGTGCCCTACCAACTCTGTGCTGACTGCCCTGCTGTGGCATGTTGGGCGGTTCTGCCTGCTGTCCTGTGTGACCCTGGGCTCTGCAGACACGGCCTTGCAGGGGAGGATGTGCTTTTGATTTTACACTTCATGCCTGGCTTGCTTGTGTAGGCAGAGGGCCGTCGAAGCACGGAGGTTGGGGCTGACGTTTGACCAGGAGAAGTGCACAGACACGCAGGTCCCTTGCTGTGTCTGGCGCCTGGCCTGGCACCCCAGCAGCTCCGTGAGGCAGGTGCGGCCCATGCCCAGGCTTCCTTCGGTCCTTGACCGTAAACCTCTTGTTTTCCTGATGTTCTTGGTAGGAAAAAACAGCCCGGAGTGCTCGGGGTTACCGAAGGGCTGTCTTCTGTACAAAACCCTCCAGGTGCAGATGTTGGACCTGCTGGACATCGAAGGCCTCTACCCCCTGTACCGGCGGGTCGAGCGGTACCTGGAGGAGTTCCCTGAGCAGAGGTGAGGCCCGGGCTCTGAGCATCCTGGGTCATCCCAGCAGGAAGACCACCTGCCCTGCCCCGGACTCTGCTCCTATGAAGACCCGACCCTGTCCTGTGTCGGCTGAGCCTGCAGAGGGCAGTGCTGCTCCACAGCTGACCAGCAGCTCCTGCCCTGGCTGGCGGGCCTTCCTGGACAGGGTCCTGCGGTCGCTGGGGCCACAGGCATGGGGCTGGCTGTGGTGTCCCCCAGTCTGGACCCCCCTCCGCCCCCTGCTCCCTGTGCCTCTGGCCTGGATGCCATTAGTCATGAACAGGACACAGCCTAGGCTCCTGTTGTGCTCTTGCTCTTTTAAAACTCTCGCTTCAGACAAAGCCTAGTGTTAGGAAGATGTGGATTTTTAGATGTTTAAAGGCAGGGGTGCGATTGTTGAATTGTTAGCCGTTTAAGAAACCCTCTCCAGGCAGCTCTGCCATCTGGTTTTTTGTGCTTTCTCCTTCAGAAAAATGTTGCAAATAGACGGGCCTTATGATGATGCATTTTACCAGAAGCTGCTTGATCTTTCCACTGAGGATGACGGGACGGTGGCCTTTGCACTGACGAAGGTGGGCCAACCCTTCTGGAAACACTTGTGCTCCATAGGCTCTGATTTAATGCAGACTTGTAGCTTTCCCAGGATGCGTCGCTTCCCTTCCCGGCTTCTGAGGTTTACCGCACAAACCCTGGGGAGTTCCACAGTGGCATTTTTGCAGGGGCCCGGGTGGTGGTGACCCACACCTCAGCTTTCAGGAGAAGAAGATTTCCTTCCCCCACGTATGTCCCTCCCCCTGCAGCCCCCACTGGGGCTCCCCACCGAACCCAGGCCTAGCCCTGCCCCGAGGGGCATCAAGGCTCCTGGGACATGGAGAGCAAGAAAACTGCATCTTAATTTTCACTCGTCTCTGACTAAAATTTAGCGTTTCCTCCACTGTGAGTGTGGCAATAGCCACTGTTGGGTCAGCAGGACCCTCGACGTTGCCCTGAGAGAACCAGGGCACTTGTCTCTCACTGCGGTGGCTGCAGACACCCCACATTTCCTTTAGCTGCTGCTCCTGAGGTTTTGTGTTTTGTCCTCCAGGAGGCAGGGATTGTCACACATTGGTTTAAAAAATATTCTGATAGCTGATATTGTTGTTCTGCCATTTATGATCTGCGTTTAAAAATGTCAGTGGGAGGGAGATCACAGGCCACCCCGGGCTGTCAGGGTTTGGAGCGCGGCACGGGTGGTGCGCTGCCCAGAGGCTGTCTGTGCGAGGGGGTGGCTGCCTGCAGCCCTCGGCTTGCCTGCCGGCCCGGCCCCTGCCTTTGTCTGGTCCCCACCGGGCGTTGGTTGCTTCCTCTCCTGGGGCTGTTGTGGTGCCAAGGAAGAGGATAGAGGAGGTTGGGGGCCATGCCCTGAGGCACTCAGGGCAGGAGGCAGCCACACATGGAGTCCTTGCACCAGAGTAGAGCCACAGAATCTCCCATGTTGTCTGTAGCTTGGGCTCAGGGATTGAGGACCAGGTAACCCACTGCTGCCATTTTCCACAGAAGTGGGTGTTTGACTTCTTTTATGTACGTTTCTCTAGGTTTCAGAATTGCTACAAGATAAACGGATTATTTTTTTATTTCTGTTTTTAACCTCATATGTAAACCTAATCTTTGGTGAGGGACTCAGGCAGTCCTTACGCTGACCAGAGTGCATAAAGTGAGCACCAGGCTGGGCTAGTGCGGGCACTCATCCCTGCTGCGGGCAGGGAGGAAGTCACCTGGGGAAGCGGTGGCAGCCTCTCACCTGCCATCTGCAAATGCCCTACCCACTGGCCTCACTCCTGGGCCTGGGCCGCGAAGAGGGGACTGCTCACGCTCATAGCCCTGAGCACTGGGCACAGCCCGTGTCCAGCAGCAGGTGGTCCACAAGGCAGCCCACAGCAGGTTGCATACACAGGCCATGCTGAGCAACAGATGGCCTGGCTGGGTCTCCAGAGCTGTGCAAGGTGACAAAACCAGTCCCAGAATCTCACACACTAGGGACTGTTTCTATGACATTCTTGACACGAGAGTGGTGAGCAGTGGCTCTGGTTGGTGTGGGGGTGGGAGGAGGGCGGGTATGGCTCCACCAGGCCAGCCTGGGGCATTCCGGCGGTGACAGTGCTCCGCCTCCCTGTGGTGGTGCATGTGGGCCTACATGTGACCAGACCCATGTGTGTGCACACGGACTGGACTAAGGTCACAGAGTGGAGCAGTGTCACTGTAGTTTTTCCAAGATGTCACCATTGGGGGAGGCTCGGTATGGGGTCCTCAGGATCTGCGTTGTCACCCCCCTGCACGTGAACCTGCCATGACCGAGGTGGTACATCTCCATGGTCAGCCATGTGTTTCTAGGCACCCCCCCGCCTCTCTGGGGGACTGCCCCATTCTCTGCATTGCTCACTGGCGGCTGGAGGTGTCCGTTTGGGGATGCCAGCAGCCACCTCTCTGTTTTAGGGACTTAGGCTCTGGGGGTTGGATTCTGAGGAGGGTGATTGTGAAGTGAAGCGGTGGAGCAGGGTGAGAACATTCTGAGGCTACAGACTTCATTCTTTCAAGGGCTGTTGAAAGAAGCCCTGTAGCTCTGAGGAGGGGTCGCTGCCTTTATTTACTGCCACCCAGGGAGACCCTGGCCCCCTGGTGTGTGGAATCCGGAGTCCACGGGCTTGTTCTCTAAAGGGCAGACACTCGAGACTGTGCAGATCAGCTGGCCTTTTGTTGCACCTGCTTGCACTTGTAGCCGTGGGCACACCGAACGAGAGCAGCTGCGTTCTAGTAAAACTCTTCACAGAAACAGGTGCGAGGTGCAGTAGGCCCCTGGCCTAGAGTTTCCTGACCTCTGTGTGCTTTTGCTTGTCAGTTTTTTCCTAAAGATTTTATTTGACAGAGTGCATGTGAATAGGGAGGAAGGGCAGGGGGAGGGAGATGCAGATGCCCTGCTGAGCAGAGAGCCCCATGCGCCCCAAGATCATGACCTGAGCCCAAGGCAGACGTTCAGCTGACGGAGCCCCCAGCGCCTGAGCCTTTTTTCTTTCTTTTTTAAGGAAAGCTTTTTTTTTTTTTTTTTAAGATTTTATTTATTTATTCATGAGAGACAGAGAGAGGCAGAGACACAGGCAGAGGGAGAAGCAGGCTACAAGGAGCCCGATGTGGGACTCGATCCTGGATCTCCAGGATCATGCCCTGGGCCGAAGGCAGTGCTAAACCGCTGAGCCACCCGGGCTGCCCCCATTTATTATTGATGGACATTTTGTAGGTTATGAATAACACTGCTGTAAATATTTGGGTACAGGGGCAGCCCCGGTGGCTCAGCGGTTTAGTGCCGCCTGCAGCCCAGGGCGTGATCCTGGAGACACTGGATCAAGTCCCACATCAGGCTCTCTGTATGATGCCTGCTTCTCCCTCTGCCTGTGTCTCTGCCTCTCTCTCTGTCTCTATGAATAAATAAATAAAATCTTAAAAAAAAATATTTGGGTACAAATCGTGTGCATATTTTTACTTTTCTCAGGTAATACTTAGGAGTGGAATTGCTGGGTGAAATGGTAACATATGTTTAATTTTATTGGGATTTGCCAGACAGTTCCAGACTGGCTGTCCCATTTTTATGTCCCCACCAGCAATGTGTGAGGGTTTGCCTCACTTTTAATGATGTAATTTGTCTTGTTGAGCTATAAGAATTCTGTACACAGGGATACCTGGGTGGCTTAGAGTTGAGCATCTGCCTTTGGCTCAGGGTGTGATCCCGGGGTCCTGGGATCGAGTTCCACATCAGGCTCCCCACAGGGAGCCTGCTTCTCCCTCTGTCTGTGTCTCTGCCTCTCTGTGTCTCTCATGAATAAATAAATAAAACCTAAAAAAGAAAAAATTCTGTGTACTGTGGGTAGTAGACCCTTATCAGATATGATATGCAAATAATTTTCTTCATTCTGTTAGTTGTCTTTTTACTTTCTGAAAATGCCCCTTGATACAAAAATGGTTTTGATTTTGATATTTATCCATTTTTTTTCTTGTAGTCATGCTTTTGCTGTAATATCTAAGAATCCATTGCTAAATCCAAACTCATGAATGTTTTCCTGTTTTCTTCTAAATTCTTTTTGATGTTGTTGTTAAAGATTTTATTTATTTATTCATGAGAGACAGAGAAAGAGAGACACAGGCAGAGGGAGAAGCAGGCTCCTTATAGGATCACATCCTGAGCCAAAGGCAGATGCTCAGCCATTGGGCCACCCAGGCACCCCTCTTCAAAGAGTTTTATAGTTTAATCTCTTATGTTAATTCTTTGATCCATTCTGAGTTAATATTTGTATGTGATTTGATGTAGGGTTCCAGCTTCATTCTTGGCATGTGAATGTCCAGTTGTGCCAGCAACATTTGTTGAAAAGACTTATTTTTTTTTTCCCCACAGAATGGTCTTGGCACTCCTGTTCAAATCAGTTGACAGTAGATATATGGGTTTATTTCTGAATGCTCAGTCTTGTTCCTTTGATCTGTATGTTGTGTTTATACTTTTGTTTGTTTGTGTTTATACTTTGACTTACATGTTTATATTTATGTCTGGGTTACTATTGCTTTTTAGTAAGTTTTGAAATTGGGAAGTGTAAGTTGTCCAATTTTGCTATTCTTTTTTTCAAGATTGTTTTTGCTATTTGGAGCCCCTGGTGGTGATTCTATATGAATCTTAGAATCAGCACACCAGTTTCTACAGAGAAGCCAGCTGGGATGGTAACAGGGGTTGTGGAGAAACTGTAGATCACTTTGGTTAGAATGGCCATCATTACAATAGCAAGTCTTCCAATTGTTTTTTTTTTAATTTTTATTTTAAAGATTTTATTTATTTATTTATGAGAGACACACACACACAGAGAGAGAGAGAGAGAGAGAGAGGCAGAGACACAGGCAGAGGGAGAAGCAGGCTCCATGCAGGAAACCCGATGTGGGACTCGATCCCAGGTCTCCAGGATCACGCCCTGGGATGAAGGCTCAGCTAAACCGCTGAGCCACCTGGGCTGCCCAAGTCTTCCAATTGTTAACATGGGATCTTTTTCAATTTATTTAGATATTTGGTTTTCTTTCAACCATCATTTGTAGTTTTTAGAGCTTGCATTTTGTACTTTGAGTTTATTCCTGAGTTTTATTTTTCTTGATGTTGTAAATGTATTTTTCTTAATTCTCTTTTCTGATTCATTGTTGCAAGTGTACAGAGATACAGTTTGATTTTGTATAGTGATCTTGCAGCTTGCAACCTTGCTGAATTCCTTTATTAGTTCTGACAGATTTTTAGTAGATTCCTTAGAATTCTCTCTGTGTAAGGTCATCTGAGCATGAAGAAAATTTTCTCCGTTTCCAATTTAGATGCCTTTTAAGTTTTTTTCCTGCATAGCTGCCCTTGCTAGAATCTTTAGTATAGTGTGGAATAGATGTTGCAAGAACAGACGTCCCTAATCTGTTCCTAGTCTTGTTGGGACAGTGTTCACTCTTTCATCATTATGTATATATAATGTTAGCTGTGGGTTTTTCACAGATATCCCTTATCAGGTTGAAGAAGGTACCTTCTTTAAAAATGAAAAAAAAAAAAAGGTACCTTCTTTTCCTAATTTGTTGAGTGTTTTTATCAAGAAAGGATGTTAGAGTTTATTAAATGTCTTTTCTGCAGCAACTGAGATTATTGTGTTTATTTATTTTTTTGGTAGACAGGGCATAATATTACTTTGTTTTTGGATGTTAAAACCAACCTCACATTCCTGGTATAATTTTCACTTGGTCATGGCATATGATCTTTCGTGTATGTTGCTAGATTGAATTTGCTGTTACATTGTTGAGGATTATTGCATCCGTATTCATAAGAGATACCAGTGTGGAGTTTGCATTTGGTTTTGGTATCAGGTAATACTGGCATTGTCAAGTGATCTAGGAAATGTTGTAGCCTCTCACTTTCTGGAGGGGTTTGAGAATGACTGATGTTAATTTTTCTTTCAATATTTGATAGAATTCAATGGTGATGCCACCTCCACCTCCACCTAGCTTTGTAGTTGGTGTTTTGATGCCCAGTTCAGTCTCCTTATTTGTTAGAGATTTGATGATATTGTCTATTTCTTCTTGAGTCAGTTCTGATAGTTTGTGTCTTTTTAGGAATTTGTCTCTTTTATCTAAGTTGTAGAATTTATTGGCCTAAAATCTGGTTTTTCTCTTCTTCAAGTAAACCCTTTAGAAATTACATTAGTAATGTAGTGAAAGTCTTTTGGAAAATTCTACACCCTGTTTATCTGGATATGTTTATAATTCTCCACAGTATTGAAATTTTTTCTATGTAAGAAGAAGGGGTTCAGTGTTTTTCTCCTAGTGTTAAACCATTCTGTGGAACATCATCTGACCAGGGAGTGTGCTGCTGACAGGTCTTCTAACTGTCCTTTCTCAGGAGGAGAGTGTTTCCTATGCCTGTTTTAGGAGCTTGTCGTTCTCATTATTGGACATTTTAGTGCATTGTGATTAGGTATGGGGTACCTTGTATTCATTTATGCAGCTCTCTATGAACATGTGCTTCCTCTATTTGTGGATTTATATCTTCTATTATTTCTGGAAAATTCTCAGCCATTTTCTCTTCACATATTTTCTGTTCTCCATTATCCTGTTCTCTTCTTTGGGGACTCTAGATATAGAGCAAACCTTATTTTATCTTCTCACATGTCATAACTGTACTTCCTATTTTTCATCTTTTTGTAATACATTCTAGGTATTTCTTCAGTTCTGCCCTCCCATCCACGCAGTCTTTCTTCACTTGTGTCTAATCTGCTAGTTTGTTGAGTTTTCCCGTTTCAGTAGTTCTGTTTTTTATTTCTCAAAGTTCTCTTTGGTCCATTTCCATATCTGCTTGGTATTTTTGATAGTTCCTCGTTACTTGCTCAATCTTAAATTCCTTTTTTTTTTTAAATTTATGATAGTCACAGAGAGAGAAAGAGAGAGGCAGAGACACAGGCAGAGGGAGAAGCAGGCTCCATGCACCGGGACCCCGACGTGGGATTCGATCCCGGGTCTCCAGGATCGCGCCCTGGGCCAAAGGCAGGCACTAAACCGCTGCGCCACCCAGGGATCCCTATCTAGGTTCTTTTGGTTAATATTTGCACTGCATTATCTTTTTCTGTTTTTGTTTTTCTTGTTTTTTTTTTTTTAATATTTTATTTATTTATTCATGAGAGAGAAAGAGGCAGAGGGAAAGGTAGGCTCCGTGCAAGGAGCCTGATATGGGATTCAATCCTGGGACTTCAGGATCACGCCCTGGGCCAAAGCCAGGTGCTAAACTGCTGAGCCACCCAGGGATCCCCTCTTTTTCTGTTTTTAATATTTGTGTTTACAATTAACCATTTATCATGGTTTGATATTTTTTTACTTGGGTTTAATTTTTACCGCCTGTTTTATTAGGTTTCTTTTCTTTCAGGTTATTATTTTTTTTTTTATCATACCATTTCTCTTCTCTGTTGGAAGTTTCTGAGTCTCTTGCTTTTTTTCCTCTTAGTGGTTATCCTAACCTTTGCAGCAAGCGGTTGACCTCTAGCACCTTCACTCTGTTTTTGGACAAGAAAATTCTTAGAGTGTATTTTACTGGCCCCCTGACTTAAATCCTATTGCTGTGTATTCTCTTGTTTTAAACTCAAGGAGATGATTACCGTTTATATAGTCCGTGTCCTTTTACCAACATGTTTCTCTGGTGTTGCTCTTGCGTGGCCCTGCACCCCAGAGCTTTTACCTCTGGGATGATGATGTCTGAAGATACCCTTGTGTCTCCTCTGTGTAGGTCTGCTAGTGACTCAGTCTTGTGTTTGTTTTGTGATGTGTAAAAGTGATTTTGTTTTTTTATTTTTTTTATTTTGTTTTTTTAGAGTCATTCTTGAGTCTGTGGCTTGATGTCTTTACTCAGTTTTGGAAAATATTTGGCCTTATTAACATCTTCAAATTTGATTTCTGTCCGTTTCCTTCATATTTTCCAGCTGTTTTACTTAACATGCTTCATTCTGGATATTTTTCCTTGGACCTGTCTTCCAGTGTAGCAAGTCTCTTGAATTTTTCCTAATCTGTTAAAACTATCTCTTAAATTCTTAATATTGATTTTTATATTTTTTCAGTTCTAGAATTCACATATAGTCTATAGTCTCCAGCTCTCCTCTCATTCTTAATTTTGTCTTTTATTCTTTGACCAGAGCAGCGTATCTGTCTGGTACCTATAGCAGTTGGGGACCATGTGTATGTCTGCTGACCTGGGACTGGGGTATTTTTGCACGTTTTCACTCCTGTCATGTGTTATACCTGCATATTTTAATTTGTGTGCCAGTCACTGTAGTTTACAGTTCTTTAGAAGTTATTTGTAAGGCCTGGGATAATGTCTTCTTCCAGAGGAGATCTTGGGTTTGCTTCTGCTGGGGGCCAGGGAAGCCCTAGCAAGTCGGGGGTCCTCTCACCCCAGTTTTGGTGACTCATCTCTTTGAAGCAGGGCTGCAGGTCCTGGAAGGCTGCTAACCTGAAGACAGGGTTCACGGTTCCCCAACTTCGTCTGGTTGTGCCGCAGTTGGGCTGGCCCTGAAGAGACAGGCTTTACTCAAAGTGAAAGTCTAGCCCTTCCATTCTCCATTCGGTGTCTGACTATATTTGTAGTTTTGTGCATCTGATAAGTGAAAAATGTTTGGTATAATTTGCATTTCCTTGATTAGTAGTGAGTGAGAGCTGTTCAATCTAACAAATTCAAATTTCTTTTTTTTTTTATTTTTTTTATTTATTTATGATAGTCACACACAGAGAGAGAGAGAGAGAGAGAGAGAGAGAGAGGCAGAGACACAGGCAGAGGGAGAAGCAGGCTCCATGCACCGGGAGCCCGACGTGGGATTTGATCCCGGGTCTCCAGGATCGCACCCTGGGCCAAAGGCAGGCACCAAACCACTGCGCCACCCAGGGATCCCCCAATTCCCCCAATCTAACAAATTCAAATGATAATGTGAAACTTCGAAAAACAAAGGGGGTTTTGCAGCTGGTTCCTGGACTGTGGTGGGCTGCGGTCCTGGTGCTGACCTCTCTGTCCCCACAGGTGCAGCAGTACCGGGTGGCCATGACTGCGAAGGACTGCTCCATCATGATTGCGCTCTCCCCCTGCCTGCAGGATGCGAGGTGAGCTGCTTCTGCTGTCCCCTCACACCTAATTGTGCACTGCGGTTTGCTTAACTGCTTGCTCTCTATAAGTTTGTGATTTTTTTTTTTTTAAAGATTTTTTTTTGAGAGCAAGCGACCATGAGAGAGGCCACGAGCCAGGGGGAGGGGGAGGAGAAGCAGACTCCCCACCAAGCAGGGAGACGACGTGGGGGTGCGATCCTGAGACACTGAGATCATGACCTGAGCTGAAAGCAGATGCTTTACTGACTCAGCCACGCAGGCACCTCTATAAGCTTGTGATTCAGTTGGAAAGACATTTAGAGAGAATAACTTACAATGTCCTATTAGAGACTACTATGATTTTCTAAGAATATACTCCAAAGACTTAGCAGCAGTTTGGATCCTATGGTAGAAATTCCTCTCAAAGCCACACGTGCCCACTGATGTGTGGAGGCCAGAGGAGCCTCCTTAGCCCTCACCTCGCCTATGGGGGCAGCACGTCTGCCATCCGGCTTCCTGTTGGCAGGTCTCCTTGGATGTTAGTATTGTGTCTGGTCCCCTACCCTTCCTTTTTTTAGGAATTCAGGATGAACCTGATAATCTTTTCTTGCTAATTAGATGGCGTCGTCAGCAGTGATCCTCATGGTGCCAAACCCCACACAGTGTTTGTGGAATGTTCTACATTCTTCTGACATGTGTTCCTGGGTCAGGATGACCTTATCGTTGGCTGCCAGCCACCCCTTTTTGAACTAAACATTCCCAGGGCTGCTGTTCCCTGGCAGGCACAGAGCAGAGAGGAAACACATAGGGATGTTCAGAGGGTGTGGCACACACAGAGGCTGTTCTGTTTAGTTGAGGGACCCCCATGATCCCGTGAGGAAGTGCCTGCCGTGCGCTGGCGCGGTCACATGACAGGAGCATGCAGAGGTCACCCGCTGCCCTTCCTGAAACAGGCCTGCCCTCAGGAATGCACGGGGCTGGCCAAGGCCTGGCAGGCCCCACCAGCTGCTTGGCAGATGCGGTTGGGGCAGGGGTGGAATACAGGCCCCGGAGCCCCGTGGGGCAGCGTGGAAGAGTCCGGCGTTGGAGCGGAGCCCTGGGCTCACGGGAGGTTGTGCTGGACACAGCGACGTGTTCTGTAGCTTGAGCACCGGTTGGGTCATGGCTGGGACCTCAGCAGCTGAGCCCAGACGCCCTCTCCCCACAAGGAGCACTTGGGAGCAGGCATGGAAAGTGAGAGCCTCGGCCTTGATTAGCTTCCTTAGAACAGGAGTGTGTTCATTTTCCCCTCCTCCCAGGCAGGAGCTTGGGAAATTCATGGTATTTGGGATGCCTTCCAAATCTAGAAGAGTAGGAAGTGTGGGGAAACTAGGACTTCTGAGTATTTTTCTTGGGCTTATCTGAGCTTATGTATTTAACCAGTCGTCGGACGTGAGCCTCTGAGGGCTGAGTGAGATGGATACACAGCAGTTTTAGTACAGAGTTCAAAACTGGCCTCTCATTGGTTGGTTTTAATACAAATAATTGTTTGTTTTTTGTTATAAGCACATGACTATTCTGATGTTTAGAAAACTCAAAACTAAGCCTTAAAAACAAAACATCAAACACTGCAGATAAGATGTGAGACTAAGGCACGAAACCAGATCTCACTCCCCAGAGGTGAGGAGCCTCAGGGAACGAAAGGGCTTCTCAGCAGATGTGGGAAAAAGTGCGTGAAGGAAGTTTGCTGCAGCGGGCTGAGGAAAGGCTGGGCCTGTGTGCTCCTGGTGGGCATCACAGGGCGTGAGCCCTGAGCAGGGTGGGGGTTTGAGGTCCGTGTGTCTTCAAGCTGCTCTTTCCTTTGCAGCTCCGATCAAAGGCCTGTGGTCCTTTCATCGAGATCCAGGTTTGCTTTCTCTGTGTCTGTGCTGGACCTTGACCTCAAGCCCTACGAGAGCATTCCTCACCAGTACAAACTGGACGGCAAGATAGCCAACTTCTATTCAAAGACTGTACACGCCAAAGACACGGCCATGATGTCGCCCAGGTTCAAGGAGAGCGAGGACTGCACGTTAGTCCTCCATAAGGTCTAGGTGCTTCCTTCGGGGTCTCGGAGCCTCGAACACACAATGCGAGGGTTGGACGAGAGCGCTGTTCTGTTGTGCTGGGAGACCTCTGGCTGTGAACATGGTTGCTGTTTAGCCCTTGTGCAGGCAGGACTGCGTCTGGGGGACCGGGAATGGAAGGTCAGCAGACGCACCCTCCGGGATGAGGAGGCGGGGGCTCGTGTGCCGTGTCCCCACCCCTTCCTCCCCACCTGGGCTCATGTCTAATCTCTGATGTCAAAGCCTTAAGACCCAAGGTTTGGCGCTCCTACCACCACATGCTAACGTAGAAAACTTGAATTGTCCCATACATCGTAAGTTTGGACTTGGAGGAAAACATGGATACTACTGGACCTGTCCCAGCCGAGTTACGTGGTCACTGTTTTCTGTGCGAGCCTCTGGTCAGCACAGATGTTGTGGGTGCTATGCTGCCAACAGGCGGGTGGCTGGTGGCTGGTGTGGACGTTGGTCCTGAGCTGTTGTGGACTTGGGGTCTCTGTGGAGGTGCCACGGCCACTGCTCTGCACAGGGTCATCGGGGAGTGGGACTCAGGTCACGGGCAGACACCACTCACATGAGCACTGAGTCTCTTTTTAGCTCAATGATTTTCTCTTTTACTTCAGTGGAGATGAGGTGTTCCTGCCCCAGTGTGGTCGCTGCTGCCCAGAGCGGGGGTCAAGGCGACTCCACGCCAGGCGCTCTGGGTGTGCAGGGAGTCCCGCCGGAGCCAGTGTGGCACATCCCTGCTCCCTCAAGATGAGTGACTCCTGGCTGGCACCAAGAGGGTTCTCGTTGGGGTCACCGTGGGTGTGCCCGGCTGCTATGAAAACTGTGGGGAATCTTGGCTTCGGTTTTTTTTTTCCATGGTAGGTTGTACAGATTATTTATATCATTGTTTTGAGGGACTAATGAAGGTTTATTGTAACATAAGATTATAATAGTGAAACCACGGGATTGTATGAAAATGCTACATGAAAAATAATATTTTGCTGATTGTAAATTTTTGTGGGGAATTTTGTGATAACTTGAGAATTATACTTGTTTGAATGAAACCAGCTCTCAGAATTTATTCAACTTTGTTCTAACATTTACATCTTCCACACTTGAAGGTTCAAAAAGGTGCCAAATGACTTGTGGCTCCTCTGTGTGCACTGGGGGGCAGGCAGCTGGTGAGATGCCCCCAACAAGGACATGGGAGGATGGAAGCATCCGTGTTGCTGGTGTGTGTGAGGTGGGCTTGCCTGGGGTGCTGCCCTGGGGTGTGGTGGGGGGAGGCCTTTCGGTGCAGAGGCCTCGTGTGAGGGGACAAGGCTGCATTACTGCATTTTTTAAGCTGATTACTCCACTTCTACGTGAAGACCACAAAGAGTGGGGGGCAGAGCAGGGTGGCAAGGTGGGTGGTGTGTTGCCCTGGTGTCTGGAATGTCTAAGGACTGTGGCCCCTGCATGGCAAGGGGAGGGCCAACCCTCAGGACGCCTCCACCCTCAGACTTGGTGAGAGGGGACCAGCTGCTCCCCCAGATCCAAGGATGGACACTTCTGTACTTTCTGAAAAGTTAAGCTTTTTTTTTCTTTTATTTTTTTTTAGTAATCTATACCAACATGGGGCTCACCTCACGACCCCAAGATCAAGAGTTGCATGCACCCTCAACCAAGCCTGCCAGGCATATGATCCATGTCTGGCATTTTGTTTTCAAATAGTCATGTTTATTTTTCCACATCCCGTCACCTTATATATCATGTGCCGAAACTGCACAGACACTGTGTCCTAAAGGCGTGGTTTTTCTCTGGAAGCCGGTAACTGTTTATGTGGAATGAAATCACACACCTGCGTGTTTGCTGGAACCTGGCTGTCTGCTGGGCACAGAGATGTTATCAGGCTTTCTAGAGCAGCTTCGATGCCCAGCACACCCAGCAGGGTTCTGAAGCGGAGGGGCGCAGTCTCCAGGACATGGTGCTGGTCTAGCTCCAGGGCTGCAGGGAGAACATGTGGCTGAGACGCTCCGCCAAGGCTTCCCCCAATGCCTCCACCCCTTGACAACTGTCATGACTGTGAGCCAGGCATGGACCAGGCACGGACCTGCACGCCAGGGCTGGGAACTGTCCCTTCTCATCTCTACTTTCAATTACTGGTAAATGGATGTAAACCGTACACAGATTTCCAACTTTTGATTCTTGCCATGAAAACCAGATGCCAGAAACAGGCATCAGTTGGGCACGTAAGTCCTCAGCACTTCCCCTGTGGGCCCCTACCTTGCTGTGGCACTTTGGGGAGAAGATCCAGCTTCGGAAAAACCTTCCCTTCTTCCTCCATGTGCATCCTCCAAACAATGATCAGCTCGAACCTGGAAGATGTGAACTCCATCCCTAAGTGCTGTTTGGAATCTGGTGAAGTGTCAACAATGTGGCACTGTCACCCTCCCTGAGCAGGTGCCCCTGCATACATCTGCCCACCAACAAAGAGGGAACGGACCCCAAGACCCAGCAGAATGCTGTTCCGTCCATGATGTAGAGCAACAGGGATGTGTGCTGCTCTGAGAAGCAGCAGCGACAGGAAGTTGAGCTGCTACCCCCAGGCTCCTGCTGCCAGCACAGGGCCCGTGGACTCAGGGGTCAGAACCCAAATGCCCAAGACCTGGAGGCAGCAGGAATACACTGCTACCGGAGCAGAAGCACCGAGGCCGAAGTGCATATAGCTACCCGAGCCCACAGGAGCTTGCTCTGGGGTGATGCTGACGGACGCAGGATGTCCGAGAAGCCCGCAGTTATGGAGCCATTTTAAGGTCTGAAAACAAAACGTGTAGGCCGTGCACATGCCTCAGGTGCGTGGGGGGTGGGGTCCCCACATGCACACATGGGCCCCAGAGGTCCTCCCTGCCTTTCCCGCAGCCAGCCAGTGAGGACAGAGCCTGGCCTGCAGAAGGCCTAGCACCACAGCTGCGGCTGCACTGCCCTCGCCCTCACAGTTCTGTTGTCTCGAGGTCACCTGACACTTGCACTCTACCACTTGGACCCCTCAACTGGGTGCTGGGGAGGCTGCCCTGTGGGGCGTCCACACTCACCCTGGCTGGCAGGCGCTCCGGACCCCCATGCAGCTGGACGCAGCCCCCTCTGGGAGGTGCACGACTTCCGGGTACTTGTCCTGGGGGAGATGAGGCAGAAATGGGGCATTCAAGTGGCGTCCATCCACGCGTGTTGCAGTGCCCTGGCTGAGGCCTGCTGCCGGGACCATCCTGGTCCCCACACCATGCAGGCTCCACGCCACGCCACACAAGCCCCACGGTGCAGATGGCACATCCTCATGAGGGACAAGGAGGCAGGATTTCCCTGGAGTAGTGCGTCTAGGGCCGGCTAGGGCTGGGCCAGGGCGTGCGACTGGATCTCTCCCAGGCATGTTCCCGTGCACCCACCCCTGGCTCCAAGGAGTGACACCTGGTCCCTTGTCTCTGTTCCGTCAGTTCCCGGATGTCTGCAGGGGACCCTGAACAACATGGGACTCCCCCCTCCTTTCCATGCATCCGGACATGCTGTCCACCTGCTGGCATGCGTACCCTCCATAAACTCTGCTCTCACTTCCACTGCCTTGAGTTTGACGTCTGTCGCACTGTCAGGGCCCCTCTGCTGGTCCCCACAGGTGACCCCATCCTCCGACCCGGCCCACCCATTCCAGATCCTTCCGCATCTGCATGGCCCCCACGCTCTTCCCTGCAGGTCAGCAGATTAGGGAACAGCATCCTCCCCAGGCCCCTCTGTGGTCCTGCTCCTTGGAGACTTGGGTGACCTGCACCCCTCGTTCTCTGCAGCTTCAGCACCTGGCCTGACTAGTCCCTCAAGCAGAAGCGCCCGGGCAGGCCCCTGCCACCATGACCTCCCACCCTGCCCATCTGAGCGGGGGCAGGTGCCACAGTGACCTTGTGTCGCTCTCCCCCAGAAGTGTGCCCACCGCTCTGCTAACGGGATCTCAACAGCTGTGCCAAGTCCGCTTTATGAGACCACATGCCATCCTAGAGTCAAAGGTTTTCTGAGGAGGAAAGAAAGTGGAATTTCATAGATTTCTAGGCTTGCGACTGTAAGGCAGGCTCAGCTTTCCCCTCCACCTAATATTCTAGAAAAGCCACAGGGGCATGGGGAGCTCTACTCTCCCAGAACCAGCACCTGAGCATGGCCTGTGGCAGAGGGCCTGTGGGCTCCCAGGCTGCATGGGGGACGTCTTCTCTCCCTCCGCCCACTGGGCAACCCTGAGGTCAGATGTGAGCCTGCCCTCGCTCCCTGGATCCTCATAGGACAGAGTGGCCAGGCTGGTGGGGTGGATGGCGGAACCGAGGCTTCAGACTGCTAAGGACACGCGTGCTGCATGTGCAGAACGAGGTCTTGTGGGGACAAAGATGTGGCATAGCCTCTCCAGGAGCAGCCTGTGGAGCCAGAGCTCCCAGACCCACATGTGAAAGATGCCGACGGAGCAAGAACACATCCAAACACCAGGCCATTCTGACCAAACCCTGGGCTCGGCCTGGTTTAAGCTTACAGTTTCTAATTTCAGTAAAACTGCGTATGAGAAAATATATACCTACGTGTTTTAAGTGAAAGTGCTGGTTGATTTGTTGACCTCAAGCTCTTCTAAATTAGTAACAGCTGCAGGAGGGACACCCGGAGGATACTCAAGCACCGCAGGGCCGGGGCCCAGGGGCAAGGCCACCTCACCAGTAGGAGGCGGCAGTGTTCACTAAGACTCCCTCCCTCCCTCCCGCTTATAAAATAAAAAGAAAACAATCAGTAGAAATGCTGACACAAGGAGGAGGTCAGGCACTTGGTGTTTGTGCAGAGTGCATGGGGCTGCGTGCGGCCGGGGGCAAGCTCCCTCTCACCCACGGGATGACCGTGGCCTACACACTGGCCCCTTACGCTTGCCTGGCGACCTCAGGCGCTTGGGGCAGAAGCACACATGTGAAGGAGGTGGCGTGGGACAGACCCCAGGCGGCAAGTGGTGCCCAGAGATAGGTCTTGTGAACCCTGGTACGCGGCTGCCGCAGCTCTGAGGCCAACGAGCGCACTTCAGCAGCGACTTCGGGCCACGTGTGTTACTGTGTGATGGGAGTTATGCTTTCCTGGTGGTGAGAAGGCTGGGAAGAGGCTTTGCGATGTGGGTGCTTTGCACATGGGGCATCAGCCTTCGTCCTAAGTGGGGATTTGACATGGGTATTTGTTCGGATGTTTGCCTCATGCCTGGGGGTCTGCCTCATGCCTCAGCCTCATGCCAGCTGGTGGTGGCTGTAGGGACGCTGGTTTGGGGTCAGACCCTTCCAAGCCCGAGACTTGTTGTGCAGTTGAAGTGGTGGCTGGTCCTAAGGGAACAGAGTCTTCAGGAGCAGACTGGAGAGGCCCGGCCTCGTGCGCTGAGCCCAGAGGGGAAGGCGGGAAGACGCAGGGCGCCCTGCCTGCCTCCCCCTCACACATGAAGCTGAGATGCACCCGAGTGTCCAATCACACGTGGAAGCCCCGAGCCCACACCTGCCGTGTGCCCCAGGTGCTGACCCGTGTGACCAGCCTCTCCTGTGCATGTTTTCAGGGCATGTGCCCACCGTGTGGGTGCCAGTGCCCTTCTTGCTGCCCGGTAACACCCCCTGTGGATGGCTGAGCTCTGGCTCCTGGAGATGCTGCTGCTGTGAGTGCCGTGGGCACCTGTGTTCTACCTCGTAGTTACGCACTGGGGGGTGGCCGCTGAGCCATGTGGGGCTCCACCCCCTCGTTTGTAGGATTCTATGGGCAGCATCGGACCGTTCTCATTGCTCATGTCCTTGCTGATGGGTTTAAACAGCGCCGCCCTCCTGGTGGGAGATCACCGTGGGTCTGCTGGTCGCTGGTTGTCAGGGATGGACATGGATGCTGAGCCTCCTCACACGGGCTCCCTGGTCATCCTCACCTTCTCTGGGGAGATGTGTGTTCAGATCCTTTGCCTAATTTTCAAACTGGGCTATTTTTATTATTGATTATAATAGCTTTTCTTTTTTTGGATTTTATTTATTCATGAGAGACAGAGAGAAGGCAGAGACATAGGGAGAAGCAGGTGCCCCAGGGGGAGCCCGACGTGGAACTCGATCCCAGAACTCTGGGATCACGCCCTGAGCCAAAGACAGATGCTCAACCACTGAGCCACCCAGGAGTCCCTATAGTAGCTTTTTATATAGTCTGGATACAAAGCACCTGTCAGACTGTGGATTTCTCCCATTGTGTGGACTGTCTTTTCATGTCCTTACTGGTGTCACCTGTATAAAGTTTTTAATGTTGATGAAGTCCAATTTATCTATTGTCTTCTTGTGCTTCTGGTGCCACAGCTAAGAAACCACTGCTGAGCCCAAGTCACAGAGATTGACACTTGTTTTTTTTCTAAGAGTTTTTATATTTTCAGCTTTTAAAATTATTTCTTTGCTCCACATTTACCTCTCTGTAGCTGGTGAGAGGCACGCCACAGGCCATGTTCATTCTCCAAACTGTGACTGTCCAGCTGTCTCCATATTAGTTGTGGAAAAGACTGTTCCTTCCCCCATTTAATTGGTTCTGGTTACGTGCTAGTAACATCTTGTAGTTGAAAATGGCTGGTCCAGAAATGTGTGAGGTTTCACCAAAGGACAAAACAGCCCAGACTTTCTAACAGATGGTGCTAGGATGACTGAATGTATTTATGTAGAAAAATGAGCCTCCAT